TGCTCGTAGAAAAGGGCAACAAGTGTAGAGATTTGCTTGCTTTGGGAAACATAGGATTGTTTCCTATTTTGATTTAGATTCCCTCTTCAATAGGAAATTAGATCCTTCTAGGAAAGGGAAATAAATTTCTCTTAAAGCCTATATAAGTACACCTTAAGTGGATTATTAAATCAACTTGGGAGAGTGATTTATTCTACCCTACAAGAGAGAAAGAGCTTAGAGGATATTTGTTCCCCCTCCTCTAGCAATCTTCTACATCTTACCCGTGCAAAGGATTGTTTTTCGTTGCTTGCTTCGCCTTCTCGTTGCTTCTAGGTTAGAAAAAAAAATTAATTTTCTTGTCTTCAGAATTTTTGGGAGCCTTGAGGCTTGAAATTTGGCTCGACGGGGGTCGATGAGGCTTGAAAAAAGTGGCTAAAAAGCCACGGCACAGTGGTTGCATTGGGTTGATCTTGTGATGGCACCTGGGTGCTGCGGTCTGGGCCTTTGTGCTTGGGCTGTGAGGAGAAAGGTGGCGCGGGGGCGCCAGCCCCTTGTTTGCTAGATTGGACCGTGTCGCCTTTGGGTCGAGAAGAAGAAAGTGAGAGAGGGGAGGCAGCATGGGCTGGGCTTCCTAGATTGCTGATTTCGGGCCGTAGGGCATGATGCTTTTTTTTTTTAAGCTGGGCTCGGGCCCGTGCTTAAGGGAAGAGAGGAAGGCCGCAGAGCTTGGCCCGCTTGTTTGGGCTGAAGTTGCCCTTCCCTTTTTTTTTTTTTTTTTTTTGTGTAGCCACCTAACAAATCTTCCTTGCATCTTTGTAGAATTTCTTCAAGCATGTCTTCCTTGTACCACAAGAATGATGATAGTATGCTGCCATTGTATCGTCAAGGTGGGTCATTAAGCAAGGTTGGTTACTTTAAGGCTGCTTACTTCAAAATTAGCTCTGATGACTTTTTTAGAGACTTTCTTGAGGCATATTGGCATGTCATTCTGTCGGGAGTACGTGTGAAGTGTGTTAAGGATGGTAGCAGCCGTGAGCCATGTGATGGGGCTCAGAGAGCCATCAAGTTCCTCCCCTAGTATTTTGCGTTGGGGTTTACTTTTCTTATGCCATGTTTATTCCAAGAAGTGCTCTGCTTCATAAGATGTGCCCCGGCCCAATGTTCTCCCAATGCGGTTCGTGTGATGGTGGGATTCCACAATTTAAGCCAATTATTTGACTTAGATCTAACCATCAACGAATTTTGGTACTTCTTTGACATAGGTCACATTGAAGGAGTTGGGCAGTTGCAATCTCGCCATAGGCTTTTTGATAACTCGAGCAATGAAGATCATGACTGGGCCAATGAGACTTTGGAGATAAGTGGAGAATGAGAGTCAGATTCTTCCCTCGAGTTACATGTTCCAACGGTCTTCATATCCGGTAAGTAAGCTGCTTAATTTCTCAGCTGCTTTGTATTTGTGCTAAGCTGTTTTTTAATTTTCTGATTATCTTCCACTGTTTTTGTAGATTCAGAGTTTGGCTAAACTCCTAAGAGTTCTCCAGACATAAAGAAAGTGCATGTTGCTCTGGGTATCCCCTCCGAGTACTGTGAGTGGCATTGACTGCTTAGTCCTATTCGTAGTGAAAAAGGTGGGCTACCCTTAAGAGATGAGATAAAATGAATCAAGGTTGAGGCGTTGGCTAGCCCTATCACTGTGGTGGAGCTTGCTACAAATGAAGGTGGGAAAAAGATGCCTTCCTCGCCTACTGAGAAGAAGTCGAAGACTTTTTCCGTTGCTCGCGAAGATTCACCAACTGCTCTCAAGCTTATGATTGACTTGACTTCTTCCAATGGTGAGAAAGAGGAGGCTGCTAGATCTGTGCCGGTGGCGCATACCATTCCGAAGGCTACTAGTTTGATTGCTGATAAGATTACCTAGTGTAGAAGTTCATCCATGCCTCCGGTGCCGAAGTTTATGCCAAAACGTCATTTTGGGGCTAAGTCTGGTTCACATTTGAAGAGGCTTACTGTTATGAAAAGTTGGCTCCAAAACCCATTCCCTCTGCTGTTGAGATCGACTCGTCTACTAAGAAGAAGGAGACTGCTCGTGTAGGCAATCGTGAAAAATTCACCAAGTATGTTTTTGGGGAAGTTGTTGAGATTTGTGCGCTTTTGAAACCAAATCTGCTTGAGGACATAGATGTATGTACCAAGTTTGTTGATGGCGTCAAAGGGGTTGTTGGCCCAAGTGCTTTTGCGAAACATACGAGCGAGTACAGGAAGATTACTTTGCCAGCCATGATGTAGAAAACGATGATTCTGGTAGTTAAGTTTATGCTTCTTGATTAAGAGGATACCAAGGTTGCCAAGGAGGTGGCAAGAATTGTGGCAGCCGAAGCTTACTTATCGGCCGAGAAAGTCAAGAAATTAGAATATGAGCTTGTTGCTTTGAAGGGGTCTAATATCTCCGCCCCCACTTTTCTGCAGCTTAAGACTGCTCACCAAGAGATCGTGGATTTGAAGTCTAGGCTTGACGCGATCCAAGTAAAGTATGAAAGTGCAGAGAAAGAGATCGAGTGTTACATACCTCAGATTCAAGATCTTAAGCATGCCATATCTGAATTCTACTCCGCTGCTTATGCAAATGATGAATAACTGATTGCTGCTTACAACCAAGTGACCCATTTCAAGAAGGTTGTTGATAGGCTTGAGCCTCAAGTGTTAGAACTCCAAGGTGCTTTGAAGATTAACGACAATTTGAAGAAAGAAGTAGAGGAGCTACAGCGTGTTCGTGCTTGTATGCTTGAGGAGAATGAGCAGTTTAAAGGTGAGAAGGCTAGGTTTGAGGCTTCGCTTACTTAGAGTCAAGCCGATTTCTACAAGCTTGGTTTTGTAGATCATCTCTTTGGGCAACCATCTGACTTTGAGTTTTTTGGTAAAGACTTCGAGACCTTCTCTATTTCTCCGGAAGACTTGCTTGCCTTTACTTTGAGTATTCTATTGGCGAAGTAGTCGAAGAGGTTGGTGCGCAAGCTGGGGCAGTTGAGGGTGAAGCGCCAAATTGTGCCGCTGCTGAGGGCGTAACGACTGTTGAAAGTGTGGCGACTGAGTAGTTGTGGGATGTCCAAGCTGTTAAAAAATAGTCTTCTAGGTAGCCTTTAGGATTTTTTTTTTGTTTTTCCTTGTTGCTTTTACTTTGCTTGAACTTCTTTGGTCTTTGCTAGTTGTTTATCAATTTTGCTAGAAAATTTAATAAACTTGTTTCCTTCACTTTTCTCCATCTTCGTTTCTTTTGTTCATGCCCTAACCTTTGGTGTAGAACTTTGCAAAGTTGTTAGCCATAAGGTTGGTAGCTAGATGCCTTACTTACAGAAGCAGACAAGTTCGCGTAACCACTAGGATGTTAACCTTGGTTTTCTCTAATTCTGTAGGTTGCATAGCAAGTATCACAATACTTTAGGACTTGGTGTTGGTTGTTCCGCGCTCGGCAGTGATGAAGCTTATCGAATATGTAGCATGTCGGCAGTGGATAAGGCTTCGTATATGCATGCTAGCTTGTTTAACCTTTCACAAGAATGTGCAGTTGTATAAGTCTAGCGTGGCTTTACTGCTCGAAAGGCAAGCCATAGGCAATATCCTGGAAACCGTAGGCTACCTTAGTGCACTTGGTAACAGCTTTAGGGTTCCAGAGCAGCTGTCCATAGGTCGTGCTGTATTATATGCCCCTTCCGTCTTTAAGGCCCAGTTCTCCGCGGATTAGCCCAAGAGACCCAAAATATTTCAGTTAGCTAAGCCTTGAAAAAGATCATTGTGGCTACTTTTAGGAATCCCGGCACAAGCCATCATGCATCTAGTTATACTAGGGCAGCCCGCCCCATCCACGTCTGGATATTCGGAGTGTAGAGTTTATCTTTTCGCTTTGGAAAGCAGACCCATGTGGGTGTCAGGGAATTAGTTTACCCTCTCGCACTGACGAGCATGGTTAGTCCCTCAAGGAGTTGGTGCAATTCTTGCGGTAAGTCCCTAAGAAGGGCGAGATCTTCTTTTGAAGTGCATGAGAGATAAGTTATTGTAGACATGTAGTCGAGCCAAGTTGTAAATTACTTCTGAATTCCTCATTGAAAAACGAGTGAAACGAATGAATAAGTTAGCTGTAAAAAACTTCATAACAACTGGATAATCCTTAGCTTGCAAGGTGGTGCCCGTTGAGCTGCTTGAGTCTTCTGGTCTTGATATAGTGGGAGGTCACACATGGTACTTCCTCAGGTTGTAGGAGTTCCATTGCTTCTTGATCTCTTTGTCGTTCATGGTAGCGAGGGTGTATTTACCCTTGCCGCCTACTCTGCTGATTTTGTACAGACCTTCCCAGATATGATCCATCTTTTTGGAGCCTTCTGTGCGGGCAGTGATGAAGGCCTTTCTTAGGACTAGATCTCCAGGTTAGAACTGCTGGATCTTAGCCCTTTTATTGTAGTTGGAGAGAAGCTGCTACTGGTAGGCTGCGATGCAGGTGATGGTCTGCTCGCGCTTTTCCTTTACCAGATCTAAGCTTATGGCCATCTTCTTATTGTTCTGCTTAATGATTGGCAGTAGAGTGCTGATGCTTGACACGATGATGTTGAAATGAATGATTGCTTCTGAACCAAATGCCAAAGAGAAATGAGTCTCACCGGTTGCTCGTCTTTTGCTGGTGCGACATGCTCATAAACATCAGGGGAGTTCGTCTGGCTATTTTCCCATCATCTTGTTGGATGCTTTAGCCTGCCTATGGTCTTGAGGATATCTCGACGTGGACATGTGCTGCTTGATGCCATATTTTTGGAAGAACTTCACCAAATCTTTGCCCACGAATTGCAAACTGTTGTTAGTGACAATGGACTAAGGGATGCCAAATCAGTAAATGATGTTCCTCTATATGAAGCGCTTTATGTCCGTTTGAGTCGTGGTAGTCATGGGCTCCACTTCTACCCATTTGAAGAAGTAATCGGTTGCCACGATCATCATGCCTCTGCCCCTAATAGTATGGGGCATTAGTCCTAAATTGCCCACTGCATGAAAGGCCAATGACTCGTCTGCAAGTGTAGTTTGCTGGCAGGCAGTGCTAGTATTGGCTTGTAGTGTTGGCAGCGGTCGCACTTTTGTACAAACTCTTTAGCATCTTGGTGCATGGTAGGCCAGTAGTAGCTTGCGTTAAGAGCATTCTGCATTAAGGATAGACCTCTGGAGTGATTTCCACAAACGCCTTCGTGGATTGAGCTTAGAACCTTTAAGTCATCAGGAGGTGCTAGGCAGCGAAGATATAGTCCTGTGTAGGATCTTCAGATGAGAATGCCATTCCATATGTAATAGCGTGCTGTCTTTATTTGGAGCTTTCTAGATTCCAACTTTTTCGTGGGGAGTATGTCGTTGACCAGGTAGTCTATAATAAAACTTTGCTAGTTGAGAGTTATACTGACTTGTGACACTTTAGCTGCCAGCTTTGCCTCTAAGCTTGGCTTGTCTAGATACTTCACTAGAATCGAGGATTTGAGTTGGTGGTCGAGGGTGGAGCCTAGGACAACTAGCGTATTTGCGTAGGTGTTGTTTGTCGCGGAACTTGAGTGAGAGTGTAAGTCTGAAATGCCTCAAGTTGCTTGCGTATTTTTTCTAGGTGTTGCGTAATTCTTGGATGTTTTGTCGTGCACTCCTCAGTAGTCTGGCTAGTGATTAGCTGGGAATCGAAATTAATTGTAAGCTTCTTCACCTCCAAGTCTTTTGCTATTCGGAGGCCTGCTAGTAGGGCCTCGTACTATACTTCGTTGTTGGATGCTTTAAAGCCTAGAGTGATCACCTGCTCGAGCATTGAATCATCTAGGGTGACAAGGACCACGCCTGCTTCCAATCCTTTGTAGTTGGATGCACCGTCGACATGCAAATGCCAAAAGTCTCCGTTAGGGGAAGTAGGCGCGGCTAAGGTGTGCTCGGCTACTTTTGGGGCGTTGTTGGGCCACTCTGTTATGTCGCTTAGGCTAGGCGTGAATTCTGCTATGAAGTTTGCCAAGGCTTGGGCTTTTATTGCCGTGTAGGGTCGAAAAACTAAACTGTATTGGCCAAGTTCCAACGTCCATTTCATCACTTGTTGAGAAACGTCCTAACCATGTAAGATTGATCGTAGAGGATATTGAGTCATGACGAAGACTGTGTGAGTTTGAAGGTATGGTCTGAGCTTCCGAGCCGCAACAACTAGTGCCAAAATTAATTTTTTGATTTTTGGATATCTTGTTTTCGCATCGAGAAGAACTTTAGATGTGTAAAATACCGGCAGTTAGGCCTTCAGCTCTTCTCGTATAAGGGCGGAGCTCACTGCTACTTCTGAGATTACCAAGTAGATGTATAAGTCCTCCGTTGCTTCCGGCTTGGATAGTAAGGGAGGTGATGTAAGATACTTCTTCAGGTCATGGACAACTTTTTCTCATTCTTCATCTTATTTATCTCGTTGTGCCCTCTTGATGGCCTTGAAAAAGGGCTTGCATCGATTAGTGGACCGCGAGAGAAAGTGGTTAAGGACGGTTGCTCGTCTAGTCAAGCTTTAGATCTCCTTCCAAGTAGTGGGAGATTTCATCTCTAGGATCGCTCGGATTTGCTTGGGATGTGCTTCGATTCCTCGTTGGGTTACTAGGTACCCTAAGAATCTGCTTGAAGATACTCGAATGTGCATTTGGTGGGGTTGAGGTTCATCTTGTACTTTCTAAGGATGTTGAAAGTTTCCATCAGGTTACCGATGTGGTTTGACTACTGCTTGCCCTTCACCATGATGTCATCGATATAGACTTCCATTGTTACCCCAATTTGCGTTTTGAACATCATGTTTACTAACCTTTGATAAATGGCTCCCACATTCTTGAGGCCGAGTGGCATAACTTTGTAGCTGTAGGTGCCTCGCTTGATCAGTAACGCAGTTTTCTCCTTGTCGGGCTCGTACATAGCTATTTGGTTGTAGACGGAGTATGCATCCAAGAAGCTGAGCAACTGGTTCCTAGAAGTTGAATCTACTAATAGATCGATCTGGGGAAGGGGATATGAATCTTTTGGGCATGCTTTATTGAGGTCGGTAGAGTTTACGTAAACCCTCTATTTGCCCTTCTCTTTCTTCACAACCAGCACACTCAACATGGGTGCTAAATGTCTTCTCTTTTAGATCACTAGTTTGGCAGCGGGGTTGACGTGCAGCTTGTGGCAAGCTATCTAGGGATCGATATATGGCATGTCGGAAGGTGACCATGCAAAAATGTCTCGGTTTCCCTAAGAAAAACCATGAGTTTTTCCTTCTCGGCTGGGCTTAGATGTGAGCCGATTCTAGCCGTTTTTTCCAGTTGTTAGGCATTAAGAATGATGTCTTCGGCGTCCTCTTCAGGTTTTCATCCTATCTCTTCTACTTGGGCGCCATCTTCTTGATCCACTTGTTGTAATTGCTATTTGGTAGCTTCTTCGTCCATTTGGACCTCGATAGCCTTTACGGGGGTAAAGGTTATCTTCTTTGATTCCTTCAATACTTGCACAGTGCATCGTCAAGATGTAGCCTGGTCAGACTTGATCTCTTCGACTCCTCATCCTTGGATGTGAAATTGGATCTTTTGATACTTGACGACATCTAGCTTGATCAATGAAGGTCTTCCAAGAATATCATTGTGGGGAAATAGGTCGCTTACGATCATGAACGTTTGCTTTGAGACAACTGGTGGTGTTTTCACGTCAAGTATGATGTGGCCGATGGCAGTCGAGGTGTGCCTGTTGAATCCGTACCTCTGCTCGATGTATGATTATGTTTTCCAAGCCCATCTTTTGAATGACTAAGAGTTGAAGTAGGTTGAATGCACTTCCATTGTCGACCATCATTATGTCGACTATGGCATGGGCCAGTTAGACCGATACTACTAGTGCGTCGTCATGTGGAAAATCGACACTTTCTAAATCCTGCTTGATGAAGCCAATGATGGGTCCGGGTTGAGTGTCGACTGCTTGGAGTTGTGAAACTAGTAGAGCCTGCTAGATCTTTCTCTTTTTAGAGTTGTTGGTGGCCCCTAAGTGCTCAAATTCAGTGAAAATTCCATTAATTCGAATCGTCTTGGTTGGTTGCTTTTCGTCGTTATATGCGTTCCTTCTAGCTTGCGTAGCTGGCTTGTCCAAGTATTTGTCGACCTTGCCTTTTTTCACAAACTTCTCTAGGTAGTTCTTCTAAGTGTAGCAGTCGTCGGTTGTGTGACCGGAACCTCGGTGAAATGCGCAATATTTGGTGTGATCTACCTTGGAAGTATCACCCTTTGATTGTTTTGGTAGCTTGAACCACGGCTCGTTCTTGATGTCGCGAAGGATTTGGTGGATCAGAATTGAGAATTTATAGTAGTTCTTGATCGTCAAACCTTATTTGGTCGTGGGTCGGTCCCTACGTTTGGCCTCCTGCCAGTTTTTGTTGGACTGCTTCCCATCCTCATTCTTTTGAGCCACTGCCGACTTTCTTTGAGGCTACTCGGGCGCCTTGTCTGCTCGTCGAACCTCGTCCAAAGTGCATGTTTCTTTACCCAAGAAAAATAGTCTGCTAGAGTTAGTTATTCTTTCATAATCAGCTCTCCAAATAGTGGATGGTTTGCTAGGAGTCCTTTTTGGAAGGCTGCACTTGCTATCGAGTGATAGAAGCATATTTATGCTACTCAGTTATGTTGTTTCCTTGCATTTAGTTACTTAATTACTATCTATTTTAGTCTTTTAAGCTATTTTCGTATGTTCTTAGGTCCTAATGGCAAAAGGAGCAAGAAAGTGCATTTTGAGGCTATTTGGAGTAGTTTTGGGCATGGATTGGATAGCTTAACTATGGAGCAATGTGGATGGACGAAATTGAATTCAAGAGGTGCTAGGAAAGGCTAAAAATCTGGAGAAAGAAGTCCAAATGCAAAGAAGATATGGAAAGAGCAAGAAATAAGGAACCTTATCCAAATTTCCTTATCTTATCCACACCTTATCCAACCTTATCTTATCTTATCCTATCCTAATCTTTTCCTACCTTAACTCCAACTTCAAAGAGGACTCATTTTCACATTAAATCACCTAAATATCAAGTTCTAGAAGCCCTATTTTCGTGCATTAAGTTTATGCTACATGTAACCCTTCTAGAAGTTCTAGAATCTGCCATAAGGACCATTCCTCGTCGTCCTTGGAATCTGATTGAAAGTATCCTTGTTCTTTGGTGATTTAGAGTCCTAATTCCTCTCATTTTCAGCCCAAATTCATGCCTCCCCTTCACCCTATAAATACTTGATGCCACAACATTCAAAAACCACCACCCTCTACCACAAATTCACACCACACCATCCACCACACCTCAAGAGCCTAAATTCACACAAATCCCCATTGTTGGCAGCAAGGAAGGAAGGAGAAGCCACCTGGAGTGTTTCTAGGTGTATTCTATCTTTGTTTTTAATGTTTAAGTTTAGTTATCTTTGTTTTGCGAACATATGGAACTAACTTCTTTTTAGTTAGAGGTGAATTTGAAGCCATGATTATATGTTTTATATGAATTGATTACATCCATTTATTGTTTCTTAAGGCATGAATGTGATTTGCTTATCTAAGTTATTAAAACTTGTTTATGTATGTGGGTTGGGGGTCGACACTTAATTTGCATGCATGAATTTGATGCTAGAGTATAAGGGGGTTTCACGTAAGAGTTATTCACTTATATTCACAAGTAGTGGAGGTTGCTAGTCACAATCGCGTTAAGTAAATCCTTGGTATAAGTCTCATGCGTTTCATAGTGATGAATGCCTTGTCAATGCTTATGATTTTCATAGAACTTAATGACTTTTGTCATGTATCTCTATCATGCGTTTCATATAGGGAACTTGAGAAAGATAATTTGGTTTAGATGCGTATTCCATCTAATTCAATGAAATAAGGAAATTCTGATGGTTAGTTGTGCGATGCAACTAACTTGGGGTGTTGTCATTCATAGTCTAAAGGAATAATAATTGGGAATTGGTTCATATGCATATATCATGTGTGGAGAAGGACCCTCTAACTAGCCTTTCACCTATTTAATTTACCCAAATTCGTTTTTACAAAGTGTTTTCTACAAAGTTTTTGTTTTAAGTTTTAAATTCGTCAAAAACAACCCCCTTTCATTTAGTCTTGTTATTTGAGTCAAAATCTGTTTTCTTTGAGTCTTTTGAGTCAAGTTAAGGTTTATTTTCGTCCAAAACACTTGTTAGGTCTAAAATTGAGTCTTTTTGAGTGTTTGTTGCTGTTTTGAGTGTTTTAAGTTAGTTTAGAGTCTATAGAGTATGGTTTAGTGTTTTTGAGTCTTAATTGTGTTGATTAGCATCCCTTTAATCCCCGGCCTAAAACGATCCCCACTTTCATATACTACAATCATAGGGTTTTAATTTGAGTGTTAGAATATTTCACATCATCGAGTCGTCACATCCAACGATCTTTGCCTTCTCTGCTTTGAACCTTTTCACGTAGTCATGGAGTAACTCCTTGAGGTTCTTCTTCATGTTGAACAAGTGGTTGGACTTTTTCTTGATCAAGTGGTAGGATGAGTATTCTTTGGTGAAAACCAAGGAAAGATCATCAAAACTTTGGATGGATCATGGTGGAAAGGTGTGAAACCAATCTTGGGCCTTGCCTTGTAAAGTGGTGGCGAATATTTTGCACATAAGGGCATTGCTGTTCTCATAAAGGACCATCATGCTTCAGTAGTGCTTCAAGTGCCTCTCCAGATCTCCATCTCATTTGAAAAATGTGAATTATGGCATACTAAACTTGCGTGGAAGCTCTGCCTGCTCAATCTCGTCCGTGAAAGGTAACTTGCTTATGTTGGTCATGTTCTGTCGTAGTGCTGAATTGGCCACTTCGTAGCGTTGGAAATCATGCAATCGCTAGTTTAAAAGCTTTTTTACCTTTTTTTGAATTTGCCTTTGTTAGGGGTAGCAGAGCTCTCAGCTGCCCCCGGTCATGACCTGCTGGTCTAGGCTGAGCTTCTATGCTCTCAGCTCATCTATGCCGCAGCAGCAGTGCATGTGGTCCATTCCTCGTAGGCAATTGAATTCTTCACAGGCTACCGGTTAAACTTGATTAGGATTGAGTGACTGCTTCTCTCCGTTTGTCTTGTTGCTTACTCCGATGTGATGTGAATGATGCTTCTTACGGGCTTAGCTGTGAATGAATGCTTCGCCTGGACGGTTGCTCATGTTGGCTATTGGAGTGTGGCCTCCACTGTGAATGTAAACTCGTCCGCGGGCCTAGTCGAGAATGCACGTTCTTCCGCACGCTAATACGAGAGTATATGCTATCTCGAGGGCCCAATCGGGAATGTACACTGCCCAAACACTTGGTTCATGGCTGGTCGAGTAGCTGCTTGCTAGGATGTTGCTGGAGAGGTTCTTCATCTGCCCTTATCCTACTTCGAGACACCTCATTTGGGGCATGTTGGTTCTCAGTGCGCTGCAAGAGTTGATTCACCAAGGTCGTTTATTGTGCAAGGGCGCTCGTCAACTCTATGACTTGTCGGGACAAGTGTTGTTCACCATTTGGATTGGAAAAGCTTGGAAGGAATGCGTTTCCTTGAGCAATGGAAGGGTGGTAGACTCCTGGTGCGAGATTTGGGTTAGAAATGTCAAATCCGCTATGAAGTATCGTGAAAATGCCCCTGGCTCAATCATAGGTCCTGAAATTTGAAGTTGAGATAGTTGAACTAATCTTGGGCTGCTTAGGAAAGCACAAGAGCAGGCTGGGCCACGGGAGTAGGCTGCTTGGCGTATGACGCACGCGAGTGTGAGGCTTAGGCTCGGGTTAGGTTTGGGCGGTACGGGCTGGCTCGGCTAGGGCTTGAGCCCTTGAAGGTTGAAGTGGCTTGGCTCGGGTTGTGGTTGTGGCGCCATGGACCTTGTCGTAGGGGGCCACCGTGATGGTTGCCATGGTGGTGCCTC